CCTCCTCCCCCCCCCACACCTCTGAGGATCAGACGAAGGCCTGGCGGCCCTGCTGGTCAACCACCTCTTCGGGTTCTGATCAGCTGGCCAGCTGGGCGAACTCAACCTTCCAAGAAGCAGCTCTGCTAAAGTCGGGGGCACCAGGCTTGGACAGCCGTACCCATGTCTTCTCCAGCTTCATGAAGTATCCTGGGTAGAACAAGGACTCGAAACTCTTGGTGTTATGCTCAAACCCATCGTCTCCAGTGTTATTGCGCATGACCCATGTGGCTCTTCTTTCGTCGTCATCTGTTTTGATTACTTTATGACAAACGTATTTCCCCCACCACCACGAACCGCAGGCCGCAACATATTGTGCTTGTGCGTCCGAGGCCACTGGTTCGAAGGAAAAATGAGTGAGGTTCTGGTCCACGAGGCCTCTCGTGATCTTGAACGCCTCGGCTTCCCTTGTGTGCTTCCCAACCCTTGACCACCTTTGCGAATGATATATTTTCTTACCCTCGACAAACATACGCGTTTGAGGATAAATCATCGGCACGAAGGTGACGACGTCGTCGACTTGGCCTGGCACTCTTCTAGGGAGGTCGTCCTGCTCTGTGAGTTTGGCCACATCAGCCTGCCACCTGTTTGTGAGCTCAAGCTTCAAAGCAGCTGCTCTCTCCTGGCAGTCTGCACAGCGAATGCTCTCCAAGAGAGACCAGATAGGCTTCAAGGTGAAACGAATGGGCTCCATATTATTGGCGTTGATACTTGCAGCCCAATCCTTCTGAATTTGACTCAAACTGACATCGTTGTGCATCCCGAGCCAAATGTGAGAATATCCTCCCAAAAATGAACATTTGATCGACATTTCGCTGTTCGTGCTTTTCTCGCCGAAGACCGCTGAACTATTTTGGGAGACAGCTGCTTGGACAGTACCAAGAGGTGCCGCGACCACCGCTTTCGATTGAAAGGTTGCGAGATCTTCGTCCTCTGACGCTATCTTGGTGACCGTGGATCTCACCAAGCCACCGAGGTCGATTGCCGCAGCAAAGAACGCACCGAACTTTTCGATTATCTCTTCTGGTGGTTTCGTAACCAAGAATTGTCGAACTTCCTCGCGCAATTTCTTGGATTGATTGATTGGCACTGATGAAGCATGATACACCACCGTGGTGATAAGCATATCCGACCGGAATTGCTTCGACTGCGTGGATGACTCCGCGTCCATGCCCGCTGAGACAGACGCCGCAAACGCTTGGCCGAAGTCGGTACCGATATCGAGGGCTGCAGTAATCTTGTCCAAAGCCTCTACCAAAGATTCTGACTTCACGAACTCAACATTTCCATACGCACTGGGTCCGAACTCAATGTCCTCTTTCTCGTATGAGAAGATCTTTTTCTTACGCCTCAAGAAGTTGGCGCTCTTACCACTGCGATCAGGATCCCACGAGTATGCGAGCCATTCTGAAGGATGTAATTCACGGCTGCTCAGCGGGTCATTTACCTCAAGGCTGGCGCCTGTCATGTCCACCACATCTCTGGCTGCGATTGCTGGGCTCAAGAGGAGTGCCACCGCCAGCAGGGTCCACGACGACATGGCGCAAGATGCGAAGAAAGAATTCGGCAGGCCACACGCTTAACTAAGAGGAAACTGCTGATAGCCAAAACGCCTCACACCTAAACCGTCGTGGCTACTGATGCTCTGCCACTGCCCAGGTGAGGGGACTCCGCTCACGCCATTGGCTGACTTATCGACCGTCCCGGCATTCCTATAGGCCTACCACGAAATACCCTTGAGAACCAAAAAGTGTAAGACGTCCCAGCCAGAAGTGCTCTAAGAACATTTCGTGCAAACCACCACAAGTTCTTCGAGATGGGGTCGGAGTAGATGGGGTCGGAGGATCGCGTCGCATCGCCGATGCATCGGCGATGCATCGGCGATGCACTGGCGATGCATCGTCGACGTGGGCGATGCATCGCCGACGTCGACGTGAAGCAAATCGGGCTCCACATCAGGCCGCATCGGCGATGCACCGCCGATGCGGCGCGATCCCCCGCCCCATCCACTCGGAACCCATCTGGGAGGTCTGGAACTCTTTTCGGGTCGGACGAAAGGGGGGGATAGCAAAGGGGGGGGGTGAGAATCAGCTCACGCAGCTGATTTCCCCGGCGCCTCCCGGCGCCGGAGGCGGCTATGTGTATCGAGGAATGGGCCCCTCGGTGGGGCCGAAACTAGCTGCATGCAGCAAATTTCGTACCCCCCCTTTCCCAATCCCCCCCTTTCGTCCGGCCCGATCTTTACCAGCCTCGAACGTATCCCTCTCCCTAAGATTGACACGCCAGAAGGCGATGACAAACTTAGGGATTCGCCCTCAAAAAATAAGGGAATCCCTAAGATTGGCATCGTGATGAGGAGGTGCCCAGCATAGGGATAGGGACATGTTCCAGGCTGGTGAGATCTCCGGTGGGCCCACACGCAGGCCAGCGTGTTGCCCTTTTCCTTCCGGCGAGCGGGAGCGGCTGGCCAGCCCTCCCGCGTGAGAGCGCGCCCGGGAAGGGTGGGGGGGAGGGAGGCGGGAGGCCGCACGGCCTCCCTGACCTTCCAAGGTGCTACAGTCAGAACGTATATTGCGGACGGGTGATGAGGACGGCGGCGGGCGACCAGTGATAATGGCAAGGACGAGCCTCAGAGGCAAGGACACAAGGGCACCCTGGATGAAGGCGCGCGTCCTGACTAGGCGCGTTGACCGTACAGATTGTATGCAAAGAGTCCCAGAGATATCATCTCCTTCGGTGGAGCTCCCCAGCCGCATGCGAACGCCGCCACTGGGGCCTTCGGTGGGGCTCCCCATGGGGGCCACGACACGTGTGAGAGGTGTGCCGAAGTGGGGGTGAAACCGCATGCGAACGTAGCCACTGGAGCCTTCTGTGGAGCTCCCGATGGGGCCACGAAGCGTGTGAGAGGTGTGCCGAAATGGGGGTGGAACCGCATAAGAACGCAGCCGCTGGGGCCATTGGCGGAGCTCCCGAAGGGGCGACGAAACGTGTGAGAGGTGTGCCGAAATGGCGGTGGAACCGCATGCGGAGCAGCCACTGGGGCCTTCGGCTGAGCTCTTTGGGGCTACGAACCGTGTGAGGAGTACGCCGAAATGGGTGTGAAATCGCATGCGAACGCAGCCACGGTGGTCTTCGGTGGAGCTCCCTATGGGGGCCACGAAACGTGCAACAAGTTGGGGTGGAACCGCATGCGAACGCAGCCGCTGGGGCCATTGACGGAGGTCCCTAAGGAGCCGCGAAGCGTGTGAGAGGTGTGCTGAAATGGGTGTGGAACCACATGCGAACGTAGCCGCTGGGGCCTTCGATGGAGCTCCCTATGGGGCCACGAAACGTGTGAGGGGTGTGCCGAAATGGGGAGCCGAACCGCATGCGCACGCAGCCGCTGGGGCCTTCTGTGGAGCTCCAAATGGGGCCACGAAACGTGTGAGAGGTGTGCCGAGATGGGGGGGAATCCGCATGCGAACGCAGCCACTGGGGCCTTCGGTGGAGCTCCCCATGGGGGCTACGAAACGTTCCAGAGGTGTACCGAAATGAGGGGATGAACCGCATACGAATGCAGCCGCTGGGGCCGTCGGTGGAGCTCCCTACGCGGCCACCTAACGTGTGAGGGGTGTGCCTACACGGGTGTGGCGGGCGCATGCGGGGGGTGGCACTGGGACCTTCGGTGGAGCTCCCTGTGGGGCCACGAAAAGTGTGAGGGGTGTGCCGAAAAAGGCAGGGATGGGAGGAGGGAGGAGAAGGAGGAGGAGGAGGAGGAGGAGGAGGAGGAGGAGGAGGAGGAGGAAGGGGAGGGGGAGGAGGAGGAACG